CGTGCAGCAAGTGGACTAACAAAATGCGTGCAGAGCATAGACAGTGTACTTGAGCGAGTTCTCGAAATGTGTTCTGTCTATCTATATGTATATATGTATATGTATGTATGTGTGTATTTATGTATGTATGTATGCATGCATGCATGCATGCATGCACACACCTCTTCACAAACAACCCAAATGTCGGCTTTAACACATTCAAGTCATGAAAAGACCGCTGGCGCGCGCCATGTTTCGCATTATCATTAGCGATAATGTGTTTTTCATGACAAGGGTTCCGTTTAAGCAAATGTCGATGTAAAACCACACATAACATACACGTGTAAATCATGTTAAACAAAGCATTGTACCAGGAGGCAGTTTCGATATGATGTATAAGCAAGACAGGGACAAGATGAATAGTGCGATGGAGGGGCTGGTGATCTTGAGAATATATATATATATATATATACATATATATGTATACATATTTATGTATATGTACACCATATTATAAATACATATATATATATATATTCTGTATGTTAACTTTCCGGTGCTGCTTGAGGTCCGAGAAGCCGAAAAGACATCTTCATCGTTCCCGCACCGTGAGTCCCCTAAATCGGTCCACGTTTTGCAGCTGAGCTGAGCTGGCACATGGAGTGTGCAGTTCTTACCCTAAGCCCTAAGCCCTAAACCCTATACCCTGCTTTGTGAGTCGCTGGGCCGTGGCCACCGAATAGCCGTGGAGTACGCCAAGCTTCCAAAGTGTAGTAGGGCACGTGAAGATGTCGGGTTTGGCAGTTCTGCTGCTGTTGGGTGTATACTGTTCACCATTCTTCTGCTGGAGATCTGCCTGCGACGTACCTATGCAAACATCCTAGGGCCGCTTCCAATGGTTGTGGTTTGTTTATCAAGACTGGATGCTACCGGAGCCTTGCCAGCGCGTGCCGCCGGTGTAAGAGTCGAAACCCTATACCCTAAACCCTAACCCTAAACCCTAAACCCTAAACCCTAAACCCTAAACCCTAAACCCTAACCCTAAACCCTAAACCCTAAACCCTAAACCCTAAACCCTAAACCCTAAACCCTAAACCCTAAACCCTAAACCCTAAACCCTAAACCCTAAACCTCAAGCGCCTTGCAAGCTCAGGTCGGCTCCATTGCTGGTGGAGGAGCCGCCGCGGCAGAGGTCCGGAACGTGGCAGCGGCATAGCCCAGTGGCCAAATCAGCAAACGACAGTAATAGGAATAATATTAATAATAATCATAATAATGATATACTTATTTATAATGATAATAATAGTCATAATCATAATCATAATCATAATAATGATAATGATATGCTTATTTATAATACTTATATACTAGTTGTTGTTTTATTACTGTTACTCTTATTATTGTTGTTAATCTTATGGTCATTTTTTATTGTTCTTCTTCTTGTTGTTGTTCCCCACCCTCGGTGTGGGGTTGTTAGATTTTAAACTCAACTCTTCTCCTCGCCCGGTCTACTCCTCGCTCATCCCTGGAGTGCCCAACCCCAAAGTGTCCCTGGAGTGCCCAACTCTAGAGTAGAGTGTTCCTGGAGTGCCCAACCCAGAGTCTTCCTGAATTGCCCAACCCCAGAGTCTCCCTGGAGTGCCCAACCCCTGAGTGTCCCGGGAGTGCCCAGCCTCATCTCCCTAAAATGCCCAACCGTCCCACCTGGAGTGCTCAACCTCAGAGTCTTACTGGAAGTGCCCAGCCCCAGAGTCTTCCTGGAGGTTAAGCAGTACTTAACCCCAGTCTCCCCAAGAGTGTCTCCGGAGTGCCCAGAGAGTCTCCAAGGAGAGTCTTGCTGGAGTGCCCAGCCCCAGAGTCTCCCTGGAGTGCCCAACCCCAAATTGTCCTTGAGTGCCCAACCCCTAGAGAGGGTGGGGATGTTCGAAGTAAAATAATGATTCTGTTTATTGCTATTAGTATTCCTATTGGGAACCTCTGTGAAAGCTTGGGCAATGAACCTTCGCTGCTTGACGCTCACATATCTGGCATTTTGGATGAGCACATTTGGAGCGCTTTTTCGCCGACAGGCCTTGCAGACCGAGGCGCATGGGAATGCCGCCCAGGAAGGGTACAGGGTTGAGGGTTTAGGGTTTAGGGTTTACGGGTTAAGGTCTAAGGTCTAAGGTTTAGGGTTCAGGGGAGGTTTCTGAAGAGGGGGAGGGGGTTTCCTACGATTGAGGCAGTAGGATTCTCGGTGGTTCCCGTAGTTTTGGGGTATACAACCCCTGTATCTAGTGCCATTCAGCCATGGATGTTCCGCATGTCGGCATGTGGTGCTTGCGACACACCTCATGCCCTGCAGGCTTGAGAATCTTGCTGTCGTGCCCCGAATCCCAAAAGCTCAAAACCCTAAACCCTACACCCTAAAACCCTAAAACCCTAAAACCCTAAAACCCTAAAACCCTAAAACCCTAAAACCCTAAAACCCTAAAACCCTAAAACCCTAAAACCCTAAAACCCTAAAACCCTAAAACCCGAAACCCCTAAACCCTAGACCGAATCTGACGCATGCACTTGCAAGGCCGAGAACGCACGGCCATCTGGCGGCAACGTCCTCAGCCATCCTCTCGAGAGAGAGATCCAGGGAGGCAAGGATTCGGAGTGGAGAGTTGCTGTAGGGTTGTGGTGTAAAAGGGTTTCTCTAGGTTTATATAGGGTCTTGTAGGCTATATAAGTTTTTCTTTTTTTAGGGTTTATATAGGGTTTCGGGTTTAGAGTGGCCGTGGTTCTTCTCAGGGGATCCCGAGTTACTGCGCCTGAGAACTGCAGAATTGTTGCTCAAGCTGACAGCTGCAAGTGGGGATCGCTGGAACCGCCCGCAGAGAAGCATGGATGATGCGGCAAAGCACACCGTGATCCCTGAGATTCTGCCGCTTCGCTTGGAGAGGGTTCGGCAAGCAACTGGTGCGATAAGTTTAGGTTGGATTGTGGTGTCGGTTGGTTTCACGAGTTCTGTCACACAGATGGGTTTCGGTTCGTCAGCAAGGCACAAAAGCACACTAACACCTGAAGCACTTGACCCTGAACCTCATGGAGTTCCACACAGGCACTATAGACCCTGAACCCCAGTTAGACCCCCAACCCCCCCCCCCCAACCCGGACCTCGACTCGAGGCCGAAAGCGGGCCTCGTGTACTCCGAGTCCCTGGGCCGCACCCAAAATGTTTAGGGTTTAGGGTTTAGGGTTTAGGGTTTAGGGTTTAGGGTTTAGGGTTTAGGGTTTAGGGTTTAGGTATCGTGGAAGTAGAGGTCGGTTTCGTGGCCCTCTGCATAGGCCGAGCTCAGAAACAGGTTCCCCTAAATCCTGATCATAAGCTTCCCTAAACCCATGAGACCATTGCCGACCAGGAAGGGCAACCTCTCAGAAGTCCTTTGCAAGCCGAAGATCATGCCGATCAAGTCACCTGGCAATGTGCTATTCATTCCATGGCTGGTGGTGCTGTGTCCATGTGGTTTCTAGATGTTTCTCGTAAGTTTTATGGTTGGTTCAGGCGCCGCACAGCATCGTTCCCGCAGAGGCTAAGTTAGCAAACGTGCAATCATCAGGTCAGCAACCCTTGAACAGATCGAGCAGATGGAAAAGGAGTTCCAGGCGAGGTGGCCCCCAAGCCTTTGTGCATTTGCTCTGAAGCCGTGTCTCGGCAAGTACTGTGGACTACTGTATTGGGAAGACTTGTCGCGTGCATGGCGTGTAGAGAGGGTTCATCGGAAAGGGGATGTGTGGCTTCTGGCTGTCAGGAGTATGCGCAGCAGCAGCAGCAAAGCCAACAGCGCTGAGTTTCACCGGGCATGACACCCCAGACAAGTGCATGGAAACATCGGAAAAGAGTTGGATTCTGCTGATCCACCTGCTCTTTTATTTTGAAACACGTGGTCGCATCTTCCCAAATATGGGAGTTTACGATATTGGGGGTACCGTATTGGGCTCCTCTTAGAAAAGGATCCTACTATTTGGGGACACGATTAGGGGGGGGGGGGGGGTTCCCTTATTTTCGTAAACCCCCCCAAATATGAGCCGCTGCCCCTATGCTTGGCCCAAGGCTTACAGCCGGCGGCCTGAAGCTGAGACTGTCTCTCAAGTGCTTGCTACGAACTCTGAGTTTGGGTTTTTTTGGGGGGGGGGGGGGGGGGGGTGGTAATCTCCTCCCCCTGAATATCATTAAATCGCACCCCCCCCAACCCCCCCAATATGAAGCTCCCCTCCACATACTATCACCATGTTAGGGGGGAGGATTCTGAAATTTCATCCATCACCCCTTGCAACCCTAAACCCTAAACCCTACACCCTCAACTCTCTACGGGGCTTGAGGCCTGCCACGAGGCGATGCTGCCCGTCTTCGGCATGCCAGCACCTGTCTGAACCCAAGCTTGCCTTCCAAGGGGTTGGTTGTTTGTTCAACCGGCCCTGAACCCTGAACCCTGAACCCTGAACCCTAAACCCTAAACCTTATAAACCCTAAACCCTAGCCCTAAACCCTAAATGTCCCTCCAGAACATCTCGGATGCCACTCTCCATGGTCGCACCCTGTTGGCAGGACGTGCCTGACCTTCCCGAGCCCGAGAATGTGAGTGCTCCAAACACTGGCCGAAGTCGTCCGGGGAACCAAGCTTCCCAGATGGGGTTTAGGGTTTAGGGTTTACGGTTTTGCAAGAAGGGCTCAGGGTTTAGGGTTTAGGGTTGCCGGCAGCCTCCAAAGTCCGTTGCTCAACAAAAGGGGCTGTCTTCCTCGTGTTTAACCCCCTCCTGTCCACGACTGGAAGGCCGAAGCTCGCATTCGGGAAAGTCGGGCCGGTCCCAGCGGTCGACGCAGGAGGCATAGCTTTCGCTCACTGTGGGCAAATGCGCACCCCAAGACCCACCCCTACGACCAAGCACTCGGTCGCTGTCTGGTTCGCTGCCGCGGTTCAGTTTTTGGCTCAAGTGATATTGTGCATGGGTCGCGAGCTTTGTCAGGTTTCGCACTTTTGCCCCTAGCAGGCATGACGGTCATCGAGCGCGTGTTGGAGAACTTCTTCGAGAAGGTGGGCCGAGTTGTTGGCACCCACCCGGTGAAGAGCCTTGTGTGCAGCGTGGTCTTTGTGGTTGCGTGCTGCACGGGCTTCATGTTCCTCACGAACGAAACGCGCCCAGAGAAGCAGTGGGTCCCTGCTGGGGCTGTGGCCCTCGACCACAACGACTACGTCTCCCAAACCTATCCTGGCAACTCCCGCTTCAACCTTTTCTCGGTGACCTGCAACGATGTTGACCTCGACAACTGCAACATCCTGGACCCCAAGTACCTGCAGCGATTCCATGAGATCAATGAGAAGATCCTGAACATCACCATCGACGGTGACGAGATCGTGGCGGATCTGGATACCAGGCACAAGCGCGGCGAGGGCGACTACCGTCCCTGGACCCAGTATGCTGGCGACTGGAGCTTCAGCGGCAGGGCGGCGCGCGTGAATGGAAGCACCGTCTTCACCGGGCGCAAGTGCTTCGCGTTCGGCCCCTTCTGTGGGAAGCAGAACATCCTGGATGTGTTCCGGAGCGATGACCACATCATCTCGACCCTGACGACCGAGAACGTGAAGCTGGCCGTGAACGAATGGGAGGATCAGGAGAACTTCTGCCCGCTCACCATCGCGAAGCAAGGCTCCCCTTGCTTCGACGTGAACTGCCAGAGGTACGACACCACGATGGAGCGCCAGACCTGCCGCAATCTGGCGCGCAGCTACTGCGATACGGAGTGCCCCACAAGGACCATCCTCATGCCAGATGGTGAGGAGGCGACGGTGCCAATTTCTTGGGACAACTGCAGGGATCGCGGCTGCATCCAACTTGGCGGATTCGAGGCCGCGGCCACCAACACCTCGAACACCCAGCTGAACACGGATCCAAACGCCACAGGCGAGGCTCCCGAAAGTGCTTTTGAGTTCCAGCCGACCAAGATCAAGACAATGGTTGGCGGTCTACAGCTTGACAGCAACCAGAAGTTCACTGGTGGCAAGTACCTGTCAGGATTCTTCGCGCTGAACAAGGCCGAGCTCTACTGTCCCACGGCCGGCGTGGGCGACCCGATCGCCGACGAGTGGGAGAGGCGTGCCCTGTGCTTCATGGGCGTGAATGCCGACACACGGGCGACGCCCAAGTTGGACTGCCCAGAGGATGACTTGCTGAAGTTCAGCGGCTTGTTCCAGCGCTCGCTTGGTGACGAGTTCGGCAACGCAATCCGTGGTGACATCTCCAAGCTCACGGCTTCGTACGGCGTCATCATCTTCTACTGCGCCATCATGATCGGGAAGTGCGACGCCATCCACTCCGGCATGTTCCTGTCCTTTGTGGCCGTGATCATTGTGGGGCTGACGATTGGCAGCACACTTGGCCTCATGGGCTTCTTCGGGGTGCCCAACGGCAACCTCAACAACAACCTCTACTTCCTGCTCCTGGGCCTGGGTGTGGACGACGCCTTCGTGCTGAGCTCCGAGTTCCAGAGGCACGCCCGGGAGGACAAGTCAAGGAGCATCCCAGAGCGCATCGCCGCGACGGCCCGGACGGGAGGCATCTCCGTTCTGATCACCTCGGCCACGGACGCCCTGGCCTTCTTGGTTGGTGCGACGACCGTGCTGCCGGCGCTGGGCTGGTTCTGCACCTATGCCGGCGTGTCAATCGTCCTGTGCTACACCTTCCAGCTCACCGTCTTCCTGCCATGCTTGGCCCTGAACGCACGCCGTGTCGAAGCCAACCGCATCGACTGCTGCTGCTGCTGCCGCGCGCCAGAACGCACCGTCGAGGACCCGCAGGGATGCTGCTGTGGCTGCTGCCTTCCCAAAGCCGTCTTCAAGGGCGGCCAACTCTCCCGGGGCCTGAAGGGCTTCATGACCCACGTGACCACCCCCGTGGGACAAGGGGTGACCTTCCTCCTCTTCGCCATCCTCACGGGTATGGGCATCTGGGGCTCCACGATGGCCTACAAGGACTTCAAGCTTGAGTGGTTCATCCCGGACTCCTCCTACGTGAACGAGTTCTTCAACATCAACTCTGAGTACTTCGCCACAGGCACGCCCATCACGGTGAACATGCGCGCCACGCCCGCCACCTTTGAGGCCCAGTCGAACCTCCGCGCCCTGCACGACTACCTGACCACGACCCCCCTGGTGAATCCGGATGTGGCAGTGGACAGCTGGTATGAGGAGTTCATGACGTGGGCGGTGGAACCTGGCCAGGCCGAAACTGCCGGTGCTGTCTTCACGCCGTCTCGAACCGACGCCAACGCGGTCTTCCAGGACTCTGCCGACTTCTACTCGGCGCTCTACACACGGGATCCCGCTACCGCGGCTCCATGATTTGGGCCTCCTCCGCCTGCAACCTGGACGCGGGCGCCGAGGCCGTACCCAGCGGCTGCGTGATCACTGATGGGCTGAAGGCAAGCCGCTTCAACGCCGAGCTGTCGCTGGCGGCCACGGACAAGGGCACCAACCGCTACGACACCATGACCTCCATGCGCGCGAGGTGCGACGAGCTTTACCCGGGCTCCTTCCCTTACAGCTTCGACTTCCTCTACTGGGAGGAAGTGGGCGTCATCGACGTGGAGCTGACCCGAAACCTTCTCATCTGTGGCGGCGTGATCTTGGTGGTCATCTTTGCCTTGGTGCCTGCGCCACGTATTGCCATCTGGGTGGTTCTCTGCGTGGGATTGTCCATCGTTGACACCCTTGGCTTCATGTACTTCTGGGATGTCACCATCAGCGGTGTCTCTACAATCTACCTCCTGATTTGCGTGGGCCTCGCCGTGGATTACGCGGCACACATCGCCCACATGTTCAAGGAGTCTTGCGGCAGCCCCCGGGAGCGCGCAATCGCGGCCATCGAGCGCATCGGACCCTGCACGTTCAACGCCGTCCTGTCCACGCTGCTTGCCGTGGTGGTGGTGGGCTTCTCTGACAGCTACGTCTTCCGGATCTTCTTCAAGGTGCTGTTCTTGGTGGTGACGATTGCGGGAGCTCACGGATTGTGGCTCTTGCCAGCCATCCTTTCTGTTCTGGGTGGTTCCAAGGAGGCCAAGGTTGAGCCGGCTTGAAGACATCGCACAGACGATAGGGCGACCCTTGAGGCCTGGAGGGCTGCGGGGCTCACACCCTGTGGCGACTTCTCAGGTTCAGATCCTTGAGAGTCCAAAGAGCCTCCAGGGCCTCTGTATATATTGATTCTATATGCACATATATGCACATATATGCACAATTTTCGATGAATTCCTTTCAATTCCGTTGGCTGCCGACCTCCGCATGGAGACTGTAGGGCAGCAGGCGTGAGTTCCGACAGCTTTTGGGCTTTCCGAGCTCTGACCTCGGGCAGCTGGCACTTCTGGCCAGCTCCCAGCTTCTCAAGACTTTAAAGAAAGCTTGACTTCGTTGCAGTATTTCGCCCACAGGCCTTCGCCTATTGGGCGGGGCCGTTGCCAGCGACTCAGAAACTGAGTTGCCGGGGCGACTCGGGCCAGTCCGTGCGCCAGTACCCAGGTCTCTGCGCCATCCCTGAGGCTCCGGTTCGGGGTCCTGACTTGAATAGTATAACGCCAAATCCCAAAATAGGCCCTAAACATCCCTAAACCCTAAAACCCTAAGCTGCAAGGCTCAGAGCCACTAGCACTGGTGCGTGGACCTCACTCCACTCTTGTCTTTTCGCGTCCAAAGGATGCGGCTGGCGAGGAGTGAAAACCGCAATCAATATGCATCCGGAGCCGGTAAAAACAAAGACTCTTGAATTGATAGAGCATTTTGTTGGAGACTTATTCTTGCACGGGGTAGGTACAGTTGGAGACTTATTCTTGCACGGGTCCTGGAAAGTGGAAATCAGTCTCTAACCCCCATAAACCCCAAACCCTAAACTTTAAACCCTAATTCCTAACCCTATAGATCCTAGACCCTTAACCCTAAACCTTAAACCTTAAACCCTACCCCCCCCCCCCACTCCAGCGAGGTGGGAGGCACGAATACCAAACGACCCTGGCATTGATGATGCGGGCTTTGGCTGCCAGGCCAAGCGGCTCAGTGCTGATGAGCCGCTACCCAACTTCGGAGTACCCAAGATGCAAGAAGTTTCGGGTTTTAGGGTTTAGGGTTTAAGAGCTGGTTGAAGACTCTACCCGGAAGCCAAAACGAAAAATCGGCCTGTTCGAGGGACAGAACATTCAGGAATCGGATGAGGCCGCGCGCAGCTCCCAAACTGTCTCAGGGAAAGCCATCCGCGAGTCAAAACTTGGCACGTGAGCACTCAGACATATGAAGAACTAATCTCCGAACAACCGTGCAAAGCTCTCGTGCAGAGATACGAGGGGGGCTCTTCAGACGGTCATTCGGGAAGTGACGGACTTTAATCGCAGACTTTTGGTGCAGGAACGTGCTGCACCATCGAAAGTGGCCTCACGAACCTCAGGGTTCAATCCATGATACCACCACGCGAGGGTCAGCCCACTATTCGACATGGTTCGTTCAAGGATCTCCATGAGAGTGAGTCTGCGTTTCAGCCTGAATGATACAAACTCTGCAGAATACGCACAGAGCGCAGCGCCTTGCACTCAAGGAAGAACGTAGGCGCGTCCGTGCAGGTTTGTCTGTTGGCTGACGTTATTCCTTGCGTGCTTTTGCTACAGCATGGTTCTTACAAGCGGCCAGGGCCTGGATGAAAGCGTCAGGGCTCCCTTTCCGGCAGATTATGGTGTTGTTGTGTGGGTTTCACACAGGCTTCGATCACAAATGCTTGATCTTGGTTCAGGGTCTTTAGGGTTTTAGTGTTAGGGTTTAGGGTTTAGGGTTTAGGGTTTAGGGTTTAGGGTTAGGGTGGTTCCAGCCGTCGACTCCAAGCTCAAGACCTGAGCAGGTAGATGGCCTTTGCTGGCAAGCCTGGCCATCCACCGAACCGCGAAATTTGCTACGTGACTTTTCTGACCCTAACCCTAAACCCTAAACCCTAAACCCAAAAAACCCTAAACCTCCTTCGGCATGTGATTGCCTCTCAAGCCGCGTTTTGTGATTCGTTTCCGAACGGCTTCGCGGCTCAAGGCCTTTGTGGCCCGACTCCCCGGTACAGCGCCGCAAAAGAGGAGCTACCCATGGAGTTGGACCAGGACCCTCGAAGTCCTGAACAAAACCAGGCATTTTTGCTTGGGAAACGTTTTACTATACAGAATGTCATGGGCTTAGGGGATCCTATTTCGAAGGATGTACACGTCCGACTGGGAAGATGAGGCCAAACGGTCAAGTCGGAGTAAGGGCAAGGTGTCGAGGAAAGTGCATGCACAAAGAACATAACGCACCAGCGACCCAAACAGACTAATTGTAAGCAGCCGGGCCGGCCCCAGGACAGGAAAAGAGGAATTCGCAGAACAGATAATTGTAAACGCTTGCGCGCGCCGCCTCGGCAGCCGGGCCGGCCCCAGGACAGGAAAGGAGGAAAGAGGGAGAGGGCAGAGCGGGGGGGGGGGGGGGGGGGGGGGGGGGGGGGGGGGGGGGGGGGGGGGTTTTTGAGGCACTCCCCCTGTAGGAGCCACCGACAAGCGGGACCCTCCACGGCATCGGTTTGCAGCTCCTCCAAGGGATTGGGGGGGGTCCCACAGGGCGGGGGGGGGGGTTGCGTCAGAAAATTTGGCACGGGGGGAAGGGTTGGGTTAGGGGGAAGGAGGCCCGATCCGGGTCTGCTTGTTCCAGACGCTTCTCGGCAGGAAGCCGAGGCGAATTACCCCAAACCCCAAACCCCAAAAAGAAAAGGCTCCTGTTTGGCAAGAAAAATGTGCTGTAAGCAAACTTGGAGGGGCTCAACCCCGTGATGTGAGCAATGCCCTAAACCCTAAACCCTAAACCCTAAACCGGCTTTCCTTGCAGGACAAGATGCCGGCGCTGACCCAGCGCCACTTGGCCTCGATCTTTCGGTTCGAGCCCATGCAAGCAATGGCGGCCTGTTGCCTACCCTATTCCCACCAAGCATCTCCAGAAGTGTGAGCAGTTTTTTTCGCATGCAGAGTGCTGGGTATCCGGCAGCAGTTTCTACATCTAGACTCTTGGGTTCTACTCTTTGTTACATGCAGTTGACATGAAAATTCAGCTTGACATGCCTGCTTCCTGGGCAGCACCCAGACTCGGCTCCAGTTCAGGCATGTTGGCGTGCAACGTGGCCCCAGAAGATGTGGCACACATCTTGCAGATTCCGCTTTCACAGGCAGGGGGGTCCGAGTTCCGGACCATGATGCGAATCGAGGGTTTAGGGTTTAGGGTTTAGGGTTTTGGGTTTAGGGTTTAGGGTTTAGGGTTGTGCACTCAGGTGCAAGAGGCCAAAGGTGCCATGGAGCTGTCGGACTCGACCCGATATGAGGAGGATCGGAGGGCTCAAAGGCTGCCTTGGAGTCCTAGGGTTTAGGGTTTAGGGTTTAGGGTTTAGGGTTTAGGGTTTAGGGTAGTTTAGGGTTTAGGGTCTAGGGTTTAGGGTTAGGGCGCCCCAGGAGACTGAAGAAAGCCCGCCTGAAGAAGACGAAGCAGCCGATGAAGAGCCTTTCTCACCAGTCTCCATGACCCAAGCGGTGACTTGCCATACCTGGGTTTCGGGTTTAGGGTTTAGGGTTTAGGGTTGCATCAATGTGGGTGATGGGAAATTGAGGGCAGCATAGGGAGACTCAGAACATGATCCCGTGAGTCCGAGGTGTTCGTGTCGCCAGATTCACCCAATGATGCGGAGCCTGATGAGGTGTGTACCGAAACCCTAAACCCTAAAACCTAAACCCTAAACCCTGTTTGTGTTTCACATTCTTGATCATCAACGCAGCACGAACTTGGATTCAACTTAGAAGCGAGTTTGAGTTCGAATCCTGCTTGCAATCAAATCGCTTCCTCATTATGACTTGTAGTTCTTGTCATGAACTCATGGTGATTTCAGTTTCCTCTTGACAGGTGGTGCCTGCACAGTCGGAGAAGCCGCCAGCCCCTAAAGCGCCACCACACTTGCGCATGGCACCGGCATTCGAATGTACCTGTGCTGCAATATGGAAGCTACAGGTTTGGAGCTCGCTGCCGTAGGCCTCGCATGCTTCATTGCGCACTCTCGTTGGCCCAGCTGATGTTTGGCCCCAATGTGAACCCTAAACCCTAAACCCTAAACCCTAAACCCTAAAACCCTAAAACCCTAAATCCTAAACAAACACCTTGAAACCTTCCGTACATGTCATTGCGCCTGGGGCGAGGTCGCCGTTTCCGGGCTCGTCCAAGCTCAGCGCCCAATCGGCTGCAGCGCTCGAAATTCGATGCGCCTGGGGCAGCACATGGGGACATAAGTCCCTCCTAAGTAGCCCCCAAATAACTCCAAAATGACCCCTAAGGTCCCTTACAAGGGTCCCTTCTTCAGTCCCTTGAGCAAGACTGCAGCGGCCCCCGTCTCCAACCTTTGCCAGCTTCCCTTGGCATTCTTGAGAGGTGACGGAGACCATGTATCGCATCAAGCTTCACGTTTTCCAGCGCAAGCTACGGCCGAAAGAGTCTCTCGGCCTGCAGAGCCCCATGCATCGTCACCAAGGCCATGGTGCAAGGGAATTGGGGCCAGATGAGGCGAAAGACTCAAGTTGATTCCCGCAAAGAGTGGGGTTTCGCCGTCGTGCCCGCAGCATCGTGACTCACTTCGACACGTTTTTTTTGTCAGGTGCGCAGACGTGAGTGCACGTTCAGGTGGATCAAGATAAAGACATTAGTGAAGCTCAGCTGAGAGCTGGGACTACTACTTGCTTAAGGCTTAAGAACCCCCCCCCCAAAAAAAAAAATCACAAGAAAGATTTCAGGGTAGTATGGGGATTGTTCTTTTTTTTTTTTTTTTTTTGGGGGGGGGGGGGGGGTTCTTAAGCAAATAGTAGGGGAAGGTGTTGCCCCGGCCCCCAGGTTCTTCAAAGACTTCGATCGGATGAACTACGGCCGATGTACTCGACGCCCGGCCCAGACTCGAGCATAGATTCATGTATGCACATATGACCGCATTTCATGTATGTGATATATATATATATATGTGTGTATATAGACACACACCTCTCTCTCTCTCCCTGCCTGC